CTGCAGCTCATTTCTCCCAGCAGCCTTTCTCCCTGGCCATTTTAAACCGTTCTTCCCCGACCCCACGGTGGTTTTCTGGCAGCCCGTTGATGTCTGAGCAGTGGAGAAACAGGGTCATTAGCTCTCCTCCAGTTAGGTCCTCCCTGTCACTCACAATAAAAGAAGCTCAACTCCGTGTCCTTTCTCAAGCAGAGGCGTTTATTACCCAGGTGAAAATTAAAATAAAATAAAACCAACAAACAAAAATCTGTTTCATTTCTATACATTAATAATAAATTGTCTAGATCAAATAAGTGTAATTGGGATATCCATCACTTTAAATATTTGTTTTCTTTATGCTAGAAAGATTTACAATACATTAATAATAAATTGTAAAGATCAAATAAGTGTAATTGGGATATCCATCACTTTAAATATTTGTTTTCTTTATGCTAGAAAGATTTACATTACTTTATTTCTCTTCTCTTCTCTTCCTCTTTTCCTTTCTTCCTCCCTCTTTTTCTTTCTTTTGCTATTTATTTGTTAAAGAAACCACGTCAGTTGTCCTATAGAATTTTTCCTCAGTTTGCATTTTTCTGATTGCAATCCCATGGTGTTATTTAACATGTTCCTTTGTCCCGTGTATTTCTTATAAACAGGTAGTCAGATCTAAAGACTTGATTGGATTCCATTTAGATATTTGTGGCACGGATACTTTGTAGGTGGTAGTGTTTACTTCCATCAGGAAGCACACAATGTTTGGTTGTCTATTTTTTATGTTAAATAGTATATATAGCAGGAAACATCCAAACAAAATAGTGTTTTCCTATTTCTTTTATCCCTTATTCATTTATTGGAAGAATTATTCTCACATTAACTATTTGGCAACACAAAGACACAATTTCTACAAGAAAGGCTGCCCTATTTTCTTTAAGTAGGGGATAGAATTTAGAGACTACAGCCTTTGCAAGGAGTGCTTATGGCTATTGGGTTGATAATTATTTCTAGGCCTTTTCAGTAGAGAGACTTAAGAAATACCTATCTTTTTTTTAAAAAAGGCAGAGTTTATAATGAGTTTATGCTGATATTTCCAATTCAAATTTAGGTTTGCAGAGCTGTTATTTAACTTTAAAATTTTATATTTATATCTTTATTCTCTAATGTTGCAAGTCTTTGCCCCTAATGACATTACCATAATTACTTTTTGTCTTTAGAAGCACAGCCTGGAGCCTGCTTCTCCAGCTCTTCTGATGATTTTGTAAAGCTCTCAACATCAGTTTTTAAATGCCTCCCTCTGCAAAGCACTTTGGGTGGATTCTTTTATCTGCCACTGAACCCTGAGTGTAAACTGCGTGGGTAGGAGTGAAAGAGCTCAGCAATGTCTGCGCAGTACCTGTGCAGCCACTCACAGTTAAAACAATTTATGCAAATTTAGATATTTTTGGCATGGATTCTCCAGTGAGAGAATGGTTATAAATGTATCAAACAGAGATCTGGGTCACCTAGTCTTTTCTATCTCTGTGCAAATCCCAGTTCACCTAAAATTTGTGCTTCTGTTTTTCAAAAGCAGTCTTTCTCACTCCTTATTCTGCTTCCCTGAATCAGACCCTAGGGAATGCATTAGGTCAGGCCCAGAGTAGATAATACAGGGTCTTCTCTTAACTGTGGATCCTGGGTCCTTCTAGAAAATTCTTTCAGAGGCCATCCTGTCACCACTTCAGAGTGGATGAATGAGAAGTCCTGGGACTGAACGCATACGGGTGAGAAGAATTGGAAATCTGGAGCTAGTTTGTCACTCCAGGGGCCTTAAGGACTGCACTGGGCTTGGGGCTTTGGTGCACGAGTAGGACATTCTCGTAACTTTCCATGGTATCTTCGTCCTCGGAGATGACCTTTCCAGCTGAGTTATCCGTGAGCTGTGTCTTCACCTCTGAGTAGACCACTGAGGCATGCTGGAACAGAAAGAATATAGAAGAAGAACTGGAAGGAGAGAGGGAGTATGAGGCTGTAGGTAACAGTAGTAGAGAAAACAGTGGAGAAATGAAACTCACCTTGTCCTTGAGAAGTGTTCTGGAGGTACTGGCTGTGGAGGGAAAGGGAACCACTGAACTATGGGCATAAGGATTCACTTAGAACTCAGTCTATTACCTTATTCCTTAGCGTCTGAGAGCTGATAGGTCCTTTCCATTTATTGTCATGATTCTCCCCCAACATGTCTGACAACACATTTGATTTCCTATTTCACCATTTCTTAACCCAGCCCTCTGCAAGTTCTTCTCAACCTCCACCGTTCTGTAAAGTCTTCCCTCAATACCACACTAAGAAACCACACTCCCTTCCTTTACCAGATGCTGAGAAATTATTTTTCTCTTAGTTTTTTTTTTTTTGAGACAGAGTCTCACTGTGTTGCCCGGGCTAGAGTGCCGTGGCGTCATCCTAGCTCACAGTAACCTCAAACTCCTGGGCTCAAGCAATCCTACTGCCTCAGCCTCCCGAGTAGCTGGGACTACAGGCATGAGCCACCATGCCCAGCTAATTTTTTCTATATATTTTTAGTCATCCAATTAATTTCTTTCTATTTTTAGCAGAGATGGGGGTCTCGCTCTTGCTCAGGCTGGTTTCGAACTCCTGAGCTCAAACAATCCGCCCGCCTTGGCCTCCCAGAGAGCTAGGATTACAGGCGTGAACCACCGCGTCCGGCCTTTTCTCTTAGTTTTAATTCTTTTAATTTACAGCACATACATCTCTCCACCCACAAGCGTTTGGCAAGTTCCCATTAGAGCTGTCCTTGTGAATGTCCCATGAGAAAAACTCTCTTACATTGGCATGTTCTGGTTCTTGATTTTATTGCCACAATTGCCCAGAGATGGAGCCACAATGAGAGGAAAGTTTAGCAGGTAGGATTTGCTGGACCATGCATATTAGAAATTAAGAGTCTCAGAGAAAAAGGTAGAATTATCAGAGCAACCTAGTAATTTTGTGGAGAGATAGAGCTTGAAAAGAAGATACACCCTGGGGCACTTGAGGTTTCTCTCTGTTTCTTACCAAAAATCTTTTGGGGTTGCTGATATTTTTAATGATATGATAAAAGCTATGTACTCTCTCCCCAGAATAATGATCACCATGCACAGAACTTTGCATATGATTTCAAAATCTTCATGCAAACCTTGAGGAACAGGTGAAGAAACCTGTCTACAGACCATTAATACTTCAAGTGCCTAAAATATAACTAGTTCATCAACAGAATGCTTAGCTCAAATGGTGTTTTGACAAATATGTCAAGAACAGAGTGTGAAGAACAGCAAAATGATCAAGGTAGCTCTATAAGATAAGATGTGCTCAATCAACCAATCAACCCAAGAAAATTAGTAGTAGTTCAAATTCTACCGTTTAAAGCATCCCGATTAATGGAGGTGGTTCACAGAGCAAAGTGACAGACAAAGCAGGGGATCATCAGGGGATATATGTTGGTCAAATATAGTACTAGGCTATACAAGAAGCAAATATTATAGCACAACAGAAGACCTGGTCTTGGCTTTGTCTTTTACTGGCTTTGTGACCGTGAGAAAGTCCTTAACCTCTCTGAGTCATATGTACAGTATTAGTACTTCATTTGTAAAACAGGTTAGCATCAGGTTACAGCTTAAATTCCTACTAGGCACAAAGATACTGGAGATTTTAAATTCTCAAATGAGGTGCCATATGTAGATTTATAAAAGAAATAGAACTTTTGTTTCTTTGACTCTAAGAGCCTGGATTAATCAACCAAATTTAGGAAGTGTGAGCAGAGAAAGATTCATTGAAGAGATTTCTTTAGGAGGAGAGATACCTTTTTGTGCAATGTGTCTCTACCCAGAAACTTTATCAGGGGAGTGTGTGTGTTGAGGGGAGGATTGCTACATTATAACCCCCGGCCTGGTGAGGAAGCTCTCAGAGGTCCTCTTGAACCTCCGAAATGAAGTGATTTCCCTGATACTGGGATACAGAGCTCCTAACTCAGAAAGCCAAAGTGGACCACAGGTTGTAGGTATCCAGAGAGGTGTTTTTCTAACAGCAGATCTCGATTCAGGTCTTGAAATGGGGTGTGAATAAGTTTAAAGAAGTGAAATAGAACTGCTCATTCTGGTCAAGGTGGAATAACAGGGACTGGATTGACCTTCGCATTTTAAACAACCAGAGAAAAGGACACAACAATGGTTTTCAGGCATTGGACAACAGGCAGTACGAGACAAGCCGGGCCTTACGGTGGTGCCAGCTGACAATCAAGCCATAGCACAGACTGGGGAGCCCACCAGAACCTGGCTTCTGACTTGAAGCCTTGTTGGCTTGAAGCAACAGAGACCAACAGTCCTGTTATGCGGAAGCAGCTAGAATCTACAGGACAGGGTACCAGAGAGATAGCAGCAACGTAGACTGAGAGCTCCAGAGATCTGCAGAGAGTTCTCCTCAAGTCTTTGGCTGAATACTGATAGGCACATATGTGAGAGGAAACTATCTTAGGCCAGAGTAAGAACCATTGGGAAAGAACAGGCGGAATAACACCTGAAGCTCACGCAGGTCTTGTAACACATGGGCTATCTGATGTAGAGTCCTGGGAAATGCACTGCTTTACTATTAGTGCTAGATTAGCCCTACTCTAAAGGTTGCTCAGGGCTTGCCCTAACAAAGCTTAAAAGCAAGCCTCAAAAAGATCCAACTCATACCAAGTAATGAAATTGAAAAACAAAATTTAAAATCCAATACTAACCAAAGGAATAAAATAATGTAAAAGTTACATTTTTTAGCATTTAATAAAAAATTGTCATACATATATACATAATGTTATATATAAATGTTCTCACCACAATGTCTACCACGTTGTAGGTACTTTACAAACATTTATTCATTCAGACCTAAGGGCAACCTTAGTGCATATGTACATCATTGAGATCACAATTTCTATCAGAAGGACACTTAATTTTTGTTCTGATTTTTAGCAAAAATATATTGTGTATTTTTCATGAAAACCTTAAGGAACGGGTGAAGAAACATTTCTACAGATCATTAATACTTCAAGTGCCTAAAATATAACTAGTCCATCAACAGAATGCTCAGCTTAAATGATGTTTTGACAAATGCGTCAAGGAGAGAGTACGAAGAACAGCAAAAAGATTTATAAAAGAAGTAGAGTTATTTTATCTATAAGATGTGCTCAATTAACCCAAGAAAACTGGTGGCAGTTCTAATTCTACCATTCAAAGGGTGTGGTCTGTCTTCCCTCTTTAGAATCTAAGCTCCATGCTGTAGTGATTTTTGTCTGCCTTGTTTGCTGACTGACTTCCCATACTTACAGTAGTACCTAGCACAAAAGAGGTGCTCAGTCAATATTTGCTGAAGGAATGAATATAGTTTCCAGCCAGAATCTCTTCCCAGAGACATACCTTCCCCCTCTTCTCTCAGCTGAATAGTCTGGACCTCAGAATATACCAAGTCTCCCTCTTCGAGGTGCACTGGAAAGAAAAGGACACGGTCGAGCTGCCCCTGTTAGTATATCACGTGCTGCAGATGCCTCTTCCCAAGCATCCCCTCCACCCTTCCTGGAGATCAATGGAGCAATTATTTATTGGGAATATCTGGATTTGGGACACCATAGAGAGACCAGGGGCATTTCCCAATACAGTATCTTTCCTTGGCTGAGGCCAGGAGAAGCTTCCTACAGGGGAATCCTCACCGTTGCCATACAACGGCTGCAGCGCCACCTGGACAGGGCAGATGGAATGGGAGGACTCTTCTGGGCCAGCGGTGGGAGGGCTCCTGTGAGACATAGAAACACATGACAATCTCTGGAACATTATAAGATGCAGGAGAGGGAGACGGCCAGGGAGAGAGGTGGAGGAGAAAGCGGGTTGAGGGAAAGTCAGCAGTCAATAGGGAACTGGAAACCCTGAGTGGTTTAACTGGAGCTTTAATAGGTCTATATAGCATCAGATTGTTCTTTTTAATTATTATTATTTCAGCGTATTACTGGGGTACAAATGTTTAGGTTACATATATTGCCTTTGCCTCACCTGAGTCAGAGCTTCAAGAGTGTCCATCACCAGATGGTGCACACCGCACCCATTAGGTGTGAATATACCCATCCCCTCCTTTCCCCCCATCTGCCTGACTCCTGATGAAGGTTACTACTAAATGTGCACGTAAGTGTTGGTCAGTTAATACCAATTTGATGGTGAGTACATGTGGTCCTTGTTTTTCCATTCTTGTGGTACTTCGCTTAGTAGAATGGGCTCCAGCTCTATCCAGGATAATACAAGAGGTGCTAGTTCACCATTGTTTTTTGTGACTGAGTAGAACTCCATGGTATACATATACCACATTTTATTAATCCACTCATGTATTGATGGACACTTAGGTTGTTTCCACGTCTTTGCAATTGTGATTTGTGCTGCTATAAACATTCTTGTGCAGATGTCTTTTTTATAGTTTGTCTTTTTGTACTCCGGGTAGATGCCCAGTAATGGGATTGCTGTATCAAATGGTAGTTCTACTTGTAGTTCTTTGAGGTATCTCCATATTACTTTCCACGGAGGTTCTTTTGAGAGGAACCCTGGGGCTGTGGCCCGGGCCAGCTGGCTGGGAATAAGGCCAGAGAGTCTCTGACGTTCTAGGAACAATTGGCTCATAGTTAGAATATTCACTTTTGGTTGGTTAAAAATACCAGGCTCGGCTGGGCGCGGTGGCTCACACCTGTAATCCTAGCACTCTGGGAGGCCGAGGCGGGCGGATCGTTTGAGCTCAGGAGTTCGAGACCAGCCTGAGCAAGAGCGAGATCCCGTCTCTACTAAAAAACATAGAAAGAAATTATCTGGACAACTAAAAATATATAGAAAAAATTAGCCGGGCATGGTGGCGCATGCCTGTAGTTCCAGCTACTCAGGAGGCTGAGGCAGTAGTATTGCTTGAGCCCAGGAGTTTGAGGTTGCTGTGAGCTAGGCTAATGCCACGGCACTCACTCTAGCCAGGACAACAGAGTGAGACTCTGTCTCAAAAAAAAAAAAACAAAAAAAATATACCAGGCTCATGATCAGGAAGTAGTGACTAAATGTCTTTCCATTGTCATGTCTGGACAATTCAAGAAGGAATTAGACATGATTCATGCTCTAATCCCTGGAGCACTGACACAGACTGAGGAAGAGGACCATATTTTCCAAATGGAAGTTAAGGACACACAGTCTAATGAGTATATGTGCATGTCTGGAGCAAAAAGATTAGACTTCCCTGGAAAATCTAGAACACTTGTAGAAAATCTGGAATCTAGTCATTGTATGTATAGTTATAGTAACACATTGTCTAGTTATAGGACTATTTGTACCAGAAATATTCTGTGCCAACCCCAAAATATATAACCTTTAGTATCATCCATTTAGATGAGTGGATTAACTTCAAATAAAAAAATGACCTAAATATTTGCAAAATCTAAAATACTATTAGCCGACAAGAACATTTCTAGAAAGTTTCATTTTGGTCTGATTCAAGGAATGCGAAAATAGGACCATCTAGCCACAGGGTCAAAGACAAATAACTTGACCTAATTTTGTGACCCCACAGATTTGCATATTGTGTACTTGGGAAGCAAAAAAGGCACGCACAGAAGCTGAGGCCTCACCTGGTTTCATTTCCCCGGAAACCATCTCCTGCAAAATAAAGCAAAGGCGCATTTATGCCAGCAGAGGGAGCTCTTTCTCAAAGACTTCAGACACACGAGCAATGGACATATTTGAAACTCGGACTTGGGGGGGGCAAGGGCAACATAAGTAACCTAAACATATGTACCCCCATAATATGCTGAAATAAATAAAAAAAAAAAAAGAAAGAAAATCAATTCAAACACGGGCCCAGTCCCAGATTCTCATGAAAGTGATGTGAAAAAGGATTGAACAAAGAATATCACTTGTTGGGGCCAGGGCTATACACTCCTGCATTAAATACGCAATTATTTGAGACTTTATTAGGGCTCAAGTCTGTGTTGCAGTACCTCGGGAAATATTACACATAACCAAATCATCTCTCCTGCATAGTTGTGAGCTGTGGGTGGACTTCGAGGAACCTCTGTGGCCATGCCAGAGGAACCTCAGGCTCGGACTCAGCCTTGCTAAGGAGACCCCTGGTCAGAGGTCCCGAGCTCCCGACATCCAGCCCAACGCCGGACACGCAGAGGTGCTTGCGAGGATCTGGAGAGCTGAATTAAACTAAATCGAATGAAGAGACAGAGTTGAAGGATGCAGGTAATTATTCTAGAACTGAAGAGGTCCTGTGCCTGTCTTCTACACCAGGTTTTCTGGCATCCGCAGCTAGCCTGACCTGGTCTAAGGCAAGGAGCCTTTGGAAGCACATGGCAGACAGTGCCTGCGAGGGACCCTCTCCTAAGATGGGGACCCTCTCCCGAGGTGGGGACCCTCCCCAGAGGTGGGGAGGCTGACCTGCGGAGAGCAAGGCTGATGGAGCATGAGATGGCGGGTTCAAGCTTGGACCCAGCGAAGTCTCTGAGGAGGCAAAAGGATAGAAATTAGCCAGCTCCCACTCTCAGTCATTTCTTCAGAGCCACTCAGTTTATTTCAAATCTCCATTTATGGTGGATTTAGGATAGACTGAAGTATCTAATTGTCCAGTTTGGATGAACCAAAGAAACTGCCCAAGTAAACGGTTCAGATGAAGTCGTTGAAATTTTGCATTAAAAATTTCACTCCTCCCTCCCTTTCGCTTGACTTAATAAACCAGACCAGATATCAGCAGCTGCCACCCACGGCGTCTGTGTGGGAAAGTACCCTTTAAGGAAGGGGCATGACTGTGCGTGTCAGGCGTAGCCAGTGGGGAATGGTGGCCTGGTGGTCACTGAGGCTGGCCATCGGCTGAGGTGTCTGGGTCAGGGACAGGGAAGGGACCCTAGCAAAAGTAAGGGAAGAGCACAAACCTGATTTCCTCCGGTGCCAGCAGGAAAACAGCAGAGCGATAGCCAGAATGGTGCCGAGCCCTCCGGTGGCTCCCGCAGCAATTACACCATCTCTGTTGCCTGGAGTCCCTACGGGAAGAAAGAACCTGTGTGAGCCCCAGCGGAGAGGTTCAGGGCTTGGAATTGTCCTTTCCTCAGCTTGGCTGAGGTCCCAAGCCCTGGGAGAGGGAGGAATCTAAAGGATTGGGACTCATGAGAACACTTTGGGCTGGGTTATGGCCAGAAAAGCTCCCTCTGGGTGGGCTGGGGCTGCAGTGGTGCAGGAAATAGCTCCCTCTGACAACTTCAGTGAATCATTTCAGAAACGAATGAGGAGGGGGAAATCCTATTGCTGATTTTCATAATCTAGCTTCCTGGGAATTTCCCCCAGACACCCAGAAAGATGTCATGCAACGTGGTTTGGCAGCGCTTAACTCAGGAACAGCGGTCTGCCTGGCATAGAAAGCAAATGTCACCACTGACCAGGGCACCAATGGAACCAGAGTAACTCTGAATGTGCTGTCCATTAAGCAGGCATATTGGGACATCACAATGAAACAGCGCCAGCCTCCTTCCTCATAGAAGCCTGCGCCTAATGTGCTCCGAAGGGAAGAGGAGAAAAAAAATGATGGAAAATTACAAACAATGAAGTAAATTGTTAGAGGGTTCTGATTTTTCCATTGGGTCCATTTTCCTCTCCTCTCATCCACAACTAGAGAGATTTCATTTATTTCACTCACTCATTCCACAAATAGCTACTGAAGCTACCCTGTGCTGGGCGCTGATCTAAGCCTTGACGATGCCGCAGTGAGCAAGACAGTGAAGTCCCTGCCCTCATGGAGCTTATGGTCTGGGGGGGAGACAGGCAATAAGCAGATAAATTTACAACATGTCCCGTGCTGAAAAGGACTACAAAGCAAGAGCTGGATAGAGACACAAAGACTAGGGGGCGGTGGTGCTTTTCTTACAGATTCTTGGTCCTCAGGCAAACCAAATTCAGAGTCCAGACACAAGTATCACAGAATTGGACAGAGAAGATCAAGATATTAGAACAACAGCAACACTGACGGTCATTTCCATTGATTTTCATCCATGATTTCTGGCACAGAGTGGCCATTGGCCAGCAGTGGCTGGTGACATTTCTGTCTCTATCCTCCCTTTCCTGACAAAACCAAGAAACCTGCTGTTTGACCTGAATGGTTCCTCCTACAAATAGCGTTCAAGGGGCAGGGGCCCAACCTCCGCACCATGACAGCTGAGCTCGGGGGTGCAGAGCAGGGATAATCCAGGGCAGAGCAGCCTGGTTGCTGCATCTGTATTGAATTTCCTCGTTGTCTGCTGCGGCACCCACCTGTGCAAAATCAGAATCAGCTGTACCTGGGCCTGGGCTTCCAGATTCAATGGGCAGAAAGCAAGTTTTCCCCACTTCCTGCTATTCCTATTTCCTAGAAGAAATGGCTGCTTTGGGGGTAGTAATTGAAATTTGTCTTAGTTAGAAAGGCAAAGATTATAAAACCAGATGTTTAGGTTAGAATCCCAGCTCCTTCAGTTCCTAGCTGTGTGGCCAGGGAACATTATTTAATCTCTCTGTGCCTCAGTTTTTTCATCTGTAAAATGGGGATAATATTAATAGTAGCTATTTATGACTGTTAGTGAATTAAATGCATTAATATATGTAAAGTGCTTTGAACAGTGCTTGGCATATAAGTGCTATGTCTATGTCAGTATTAATATCAGCTCTTATTTGTTGTCCTTACACTCTACTCTCAGCTCTAAGGGACTTCATGCTGCTCTCTGGTCAGCTTAGCGGACAACCCCATAGGTGAGACCTGCTCCTACACAGCACCACCCTGCCAACCTCAGCCCGTGCTTTTGACTGAGTTGTGTCCCACCAACCCAAATTCATATGGTGAAGCTCTAACCCCAATATGATGGTGTTTGGAGATGGCGCTTTGGGGAGTAATTAGATTTAGATAAAGTCACAAGGGTGGGGCTGTAAAGATGCAGTTAGCACTCTTCTAAGAAGAAACCCCAAAAAGTTTGTTCTTGCTCTTTCTCTCTGCCACGTGAGGACGCAGCAAGAAGGCAGTCTTTTGTCAGCCAGAAAGAGAGCCCTCTCCCAAACCCAACCACGTTGGAGCTCTGATCTTAGACTTCCGGACTCTAGAACCACAAGAAAATAAATTTCTGTTGTTTAAGGCACCCATTCTATGATATTTATTGTGGCAGTTGGAGCAGACAGGCCACTTTAGCCCAGTGCTCAAGGTTATTACAGAGTTCCTCTCCTGTTATAAATTCTCCCATTTCTAAGCACAGAGATTTTGCATAAAGTCCACAAATAACAGATTTAGGAGGAAATATCCACCCCGTCAATATCAACTGAATCCTTGACATCTGTTTAGTCTCTGAGATCATCTATTTCCTTAGCGGATGATGACACCTGCTTTGCAGGGCTGTCATGAGAAGAAAATGAAATCACACGTGTGATGTGACCAGCTCACTGCCCCATCAGGGGAGGCCGGCCATTCTAATGGACTTGACCTTTAAAAGGAAGATGCATACTTTACACTTAAGTGTGAACTACCAACAGATTCACTGTTACCCCCCTCAGGGACTATAACCTCTGTACTCCCTGAGGAAAGCTTTTCAGTGTAAGAGCCTTCAGGAGAAGCAGCACCTCCACCTCCAGTGTCTGGATTTCAGGGCATTTAGCGGGTCTTCTAGGGTGCCCTTGGCAGCTTTCAGCTTTGCTAATCCTTTCTCTCCTGATCTGAGCTGATTCTTGAAATGCCATTGGAATGCCATTGGCTCAGTCTCAGCCCTTCCCTGCTGGGAATTACGGGCAATGTCACCTTTCCCCAAGCTGTTCCCAGACTGAGATGCAGGTCCTTTTGTGGCACCTGATTCCGGGAAAACAACTCAATCTCCTGACCTGGGAGGGCCCTGTTGATCACAGGACTTGCCTAAAGGGAGTTGAAGGGAAAATTGAGCAGCAGCTGGGCTGTTAGCATAGCAACCCCTTCCCGGAGCCTCTAACTAAGCTGTTCAGGTTCATGGCTCCATCAGAGCTGACCACTCATAGAAACAGCACAGCTCTCTGCTTATTTAGCATAGTGGACAGTAAGTGCTTGACTGTGTGGTGTTTCTTTGGAGAATTTTGACAATGCTCTCTCTCTCTCTCTCTCTCTCTCTCTCTCTCTCTCCCTGAGCTAAATGATTGCATTGAGGCTCAAATCCAGGCTGCTCTGTGACCTTATGCAAATAACCAAACCTCTCTGAGATTCACTTTCCTTTTCCGTAGACTAGAAATAATGATATCTTTATTTTCTAGGATTTCAATTCTGTTAAAAAAAAAAACACAGAAACAGAAAAAGGAGAGTCACAAGAGAGAAGATGTATGCAAAAGTCATTCATTCGACAAATATTTATTGAATGCCTGAGTCAAGCACTGGTCTGGGCACTTGGAATACAATGGTGGTCAAAACAAGGATCCGTCCTTATGAGACTAATCTGAGAGGAGTGGGAGAATGATGCAAACCAACAAGGGTGTCATGGCCTGGCAGATGGGGATAAGTGCTGTGGGAGGGGAAGGGGACCAAGAAGAACTAGGAGAGGAAGTGCTGGGGTGAAGGGCTGCTGTGTTACAAAGGCAGGTTGGGGAAAGACTCACTGAACAGGTGAGTAGCATTCTGGAGTAAGTGAGGGAGTGAACATGAGGATATCAGGGAAGAGCAGTGCAAAGGCCCTGAGGTGGGAGTGTGCCTGGAAAGTGCGAGGAAGAGACAGAGAGTCAGGATAGCTGGAGTAGAAAAGGTGAGGGGAGAGTAGTAGGAGATAAGGTCAGGGTGACAAGGGGCTAGATGATGCAGGGCCTGGTGAGTCACTGAGAGGATGTTGGCCCTCACTCCGAAGGACGTAGAAAGCCAGGGGAGGATTTTGAGCAGAAGAGAAACATGATCTGACTTATTATTTAAGGATCCCCTCTGATGCTGTATTGAGAATAGACTGGGAAGTAACAGGTGAAGCAGAAGACTAGTTAGGATGTTATTGCAATAATCCAGGCAAGGGATGCTGGTGGCTTGAACCAGGTGCTGGTAGTGGGGCTGGTGAGAAGTAGTCAGATTCCGGCTATATTTTGAAAGCAGAGCCATCAGGACTTGCAGATGGATTGCATATAGGGGATGAAACAAAAAGAAGAGTCAAGAATGATGCCCAGATTGTTGGCCTGAGCAACTAGAAGGGAGTTCTATGTTTACCAAGAGGAGGCTTTATAGAGGAATTTATCTTGGGTAAACATCAACAGCTTGGTTTGGGATGAGTTGTTAGAGATGCTAATTAGCTACTCTAATGGTGCTATCCGAGTACTTACTTGATTTATGTACTTGGATATATGGGTCTTGAGTTCAGACTGGAGGTCTAGGCTGCAGGTTGAGTTTGGGAGTCATAAGCATATAGAAGTCATAAGTGCATTTAGAGTCATAAGACTAGATCATATGGAGAGCAGGCACAGAAAGAGTCTGAGAACAGAGCGCTGTAGGTCCCCAAAATGTAGAGGTTGGAAGTATGATGAGGAACCAGAAAGGAAACCTAAAAAAAGGATCTGATGAATATGTATAATAGCAAGAGAGAGTTGTGTCCCAGAAGTCAAGGAGGAAAGTATTTGAAGATGGAGGGAGGGATTAATTGTGTTAAAAGCTGGAAGCTAGGCACTCTGGCTTATACTTGTAATCCCAGCACTTTGAGAGGCCAAGGCAGGAGGCTTGCTTGAGGCCAGGAGTTCCAGACCAACCTGAGCAACATAGCAATACCCCGTCTCCACAAAAAATGAAAAACATTAGTCAGGCATGGTGGCACACACCTTTAATCACAGGTATTCGGGAGGCTGAGCCAGGAGGATCGCTTGAGCCCAGGAGTTTGAGGCTGCAGTGAGCTATGATTGTGCCACTGCACTCCAGCCTGGGCTATAGAGCCAGACGCTGTCTTTAAAAACAATCAAACAAACAAACAAACAAACAAACAAACAAAAAGCTGCAGATAGGTCAAGTAAAATGGAAACTGGGAATTTTCCATTGGCCTTAGCAACAAACACAGAGATCATTAGTAATCCTCACAAGAGTCATTTGGGTGAAGTAAGGCCACCCTGGTGGTGGTAGGTTTGAAAGAATATGAGAGAAAAGTAAAGAGAGTGAGTAGAGAAAGCTCTTTTGAGGAGTTTTATTGTAAAAGAGAGCAGGGAAATCTAGCTTTCCAGTAACTTTTTAATAACAGCTAGCTTTATTGGATAGCAGATGCAGCTAAACCTGAGATAGAGAAGGAATTGTTGCCCACTAGAGACCATTTCCTTAGTGCTGAGATTGCTGAGTGATGACAGGTGAGGGCGGCCAACAGACTACGGAGTTTGGACCTAGAACATCACTAAATGTGATAAGCTTTCCATCCTCACACACAAAGCCCCAGGAGAGAAAACTGGACTAATCCTGGGCAAGCATTTGGGTGTTGTCTGATGTCCAGTGTGGCCTCTTGGAGACAGAGGAAGAGAAGGATATGAGCTAGGACTGGGGGATCCCTAAGGAAGGCTTGTCTCCTCAATGGACGAAACTGGACTCTGTGTCTTCTCTCATACTTGTAAGTTCCTTGACCTGCTCACAGTTTGGTTACCCAGAATCCCTCAAGCCTACAGTAATGAAGTAAATGCCTCCTGCCTTTGGTTCTGTCCAACTTGAGGATGCTGGTCTGATGTGCTGTGGATAATTTGCTGAAAGGAGAGGTGTAGTTGACACTATCGGGTGGCAGAGCTGTGCCCCACCCTCAAATATTGCTAACGAGGGAAGGCTTCTCTTTGAGAATAACACGTGCTGGATCAGAGCACAGACACACAAAATCACTTCCAAGGGGCAAAATGGCTCCTGGCTACCATCACCTCACTGTGGTACCTTACTCTGACCTGGCCGAGTTATTAATATTCTAATGGAAGAAATTCTCTATCTCAGTGGAGGATGGGAAAATGGAAAACAGAAAAAGGAGAGTCACAAGGGTATCGTTAGCTGTGCCCACCCCTAATTTGGGAAAATTTGCCGAGAAGAAATCAGGTCAGCAGAGATTAAAACTCACCTCTCACAGTGATGTTCATCACCCCGCTCTGTACAGGGCCGTAGCTGTTGTCAGCTGTACAGTAGTATCCGCCGGCATGGTTCTCTCGGATGACAGAGATTTCCAGCTCTGCTCTCTGAGAACGCTGAGTTTTCCTCCCCAGACTCTCCTTCGTGTCCTCTCTGTGCCAGGAGAACGTGGTGTCCCCTGTGCCTTCAGCCACAGAGCAGACAAGGACCAGCACCTCCCCTTCAACCACCTGGTCTCCTGGGGGCTGGGTCTCCATGAGCACTCCAGACACGGGGATCCCTACATAAAAATGAGACGACAGGTGAGGGCCAGGTGTGAGGATGGGCAGGGCTGGAGTGTTGAATAGGATCACTTTTTGTGTGACTTTAAGATATACTCTCAGCAGGTACTAGCATTGAGGCCAGTAGACTATGGATTTTGGACCTAGAACCTCACTAAATGTGGTAAGCTTTTCATCCTGATACACAGGCCCAAGGAGAGAAAAATGGACTAACCCTAGAGAAGCATTTGGGTTTTGTCTGATATCCTAGCTGGTGGTTAGAATTGTTTTGAGGGATAGGTGATAGCAATAGTGGCTATCATGGCACTAGGCCAGACCACACCTATTTCCAGAAGTTCTGCTTTGGTACCTAAGAAAAGCTGTTTTTATTGTGTTTGTCTTTCTGTGTCTATATCTCCTCTTCTGCTGTACAAGTTGCAGGCACTCACATTTATTCTATTGCTATAGAATAGTAAGAGATGATGCTTGTCTTCTAAGTAGTTTGTCCTAAGGTCTGGCATTCTAGAATCTGCCAACTCAGTAGCAGGGCATCTTGTTTTCTTGTTCTGTTTTCCACAGCTCTCAAATCAGCTCTCATTCCGAGGCGACAGAGTTTCAAGGGAAGACTGAGTTTTTAGGGAAATAGAGGTGGAAAAGAAATCGCATATTGCTTTTATTATAGCACTTCTCAGCCTAAGCCTGGTGCCTCTGTCAGGATGACAAAATCCATCTCTGTTGGGCAGTCCCCACGCCCACCGGGCCAGAGGGACAAGGAGCGGCAGGGAAGATGCCACGGCTCTGCTCTGCCGCCTGGCGCTCCGGCACTCACTTTGCACTTGGATCTGTAGCGGGAGGCTGCGTTTGTGGACGCTGCGGCTCACTGTTTCGGCACCACACCAATAGAATCCTGAGTTTTCTCTCCATATGGTTGCAATCTGGAGTTCTGGGGACTTGCTCCAGTCTGACAGGACGACCCCATCGTCTCTGAAGAAGGTGAAGTAAAGCGGGGTGTCCGACCTCTCTGGAGGAAGCTGTGTTTCACAGCTCAGGTTTACAGAATTCCCCTCTGTAGGCTGAGAGACGGTGGCTTTCAGCTTTGGATGTGGAAATAATTCTAGAGAGAAAAGGTAAATCAGATTCTCAGCATGAGACTGCTGAGCACTCTGGGAGAGACAGGCTTGGACTCGCAATCCCAGGGAACTTCAGCACCCAGCGGGACAAGCTTACCGAGCCCTCGGTCACGCTTCTCTTCCCCAGGTTTACTCAAGTCCAGTCACCCCACTTCCTCTGCCTCTTAAAGGACGTGCGCCTCTCGTCTAGCCATAGTTTCAATATTAACCTATAAATTCCCTCCTTACATGCTCAATTTCCCCACCCTGCCATTACTAAGCAAATTTATATGAAAGGAAAGGTTTACCTTGAATTTTGATCATTCTGGGATTTGATCTAAATACATAATTTTTGTCCTCAACTCCAATGCATTGGTAATAGCCGTTGTTATTTGAACTTGCTTGTGGGATAAGAAGATCCTGGCTTTCATTAGAAATAGAAAGAATTTTTCTATTCCAAACGTATTTCACGGCAGTTAGTTTCTTTTTCCCCCTTCTCTGGCATCTCAGAACCAACGTGTCACCTTCGAACACAGAATATGGGGCCTGCAGGATGAAGGGTTCTGGAAATGACACGAAGAGAAGATATCATCATTCAGGGCACTCCTGCTACCTCCCTCCTCTGTGTCTCTTGAATTACAAAGGCTTTATTGTTTTCTTCTTTTTTCTGCCACAGGATTTAGTCTCCTGATCCAAGCTCACTCATCTTGCAAATCAGTGTGACATGCTTCAGATACAGTTCCTAAATAAATCCCAAACACATCTATTCAATCATTCAAGGTCAGATTCAAAATATATGATTCCGATATGGAAAGAAAAAAAGCTGAGAGGAGGTGTGATCAAAATCCCCGACATTATAGAATATGGCAAAATTTAACACCAACCTGCTCACCAAATCTTGGAGCAGGAGTTATCGAAGCAGGATTTGGAGAACTTTACAAGAAACTATTACGATGTGTTGGAGTATTCTATGCAGCAGGATTACTGTCACAGACACAAATCTAGGTTCAGGGGACAATGAATATGGTCCTCTATGGAAATTCTCATGCCGTTCAGATTCTAATGTGAGGTTAGCTCTGTCCTTTCTCCTTTAGATGTCTATGTTGAATGCCTGCTCCTATAGAGCTGTGCCGTGGAGGTGATGCAAATCATTTTCTCTAAATGAGGCAGAACTAGACAGGAAGAGATGTGGGAACTTGGTGCCAGTCAGATAGAAAGGAAGGAATAAAGAAGGGGCAGATAGCAGAACAGGTGGGGATGAAAGGCCTGAGGTTGGAGATTTCCTTCCTCCAACTCTGATGGCACTTTTCACTTTCTGCCTTGTGCTCAGCACATTAGCACATTCGCGCACGTGTCATCTTCTCCCTGATGACGCTGTAAAGTCCTACAGGGCGGGATCTCAGACAGCTTCATTCCTGTATCCCCAAAACTAACTCATTTCCTTGACTATGTACGTCTACAAGAATGTGGATTAATATTAAACAGTTAAACTCAAGCTCCAATAGTAGTTTGGAAAACGCTGGTAGACAGTTAGGGAGAACGTGAAACTGAAACTACTAATAGCTGAAGTCAAGGGTTAGAGAGGAATGAAGGACCCCAGTTGTTCGAACCTCCAGGGAGCTAAGATGAACCAAAACCATTTCTAAAGTTTTAGCTAATTCACCTTCTTTCTCACCTGTAGAAAAGACCAAGTGCACAGGGTTACTTAGGGTTGAACCCCTAGTCTGGCATCTGTACTCTCCAGATTCATGAACCTCGAGGGTGTCTCCTGGGGTATCTCTTACTATTTCTTTCCCCGAATACCAACGTTTCCATTTTGTTCTCTGTGGTGAGTGGTGAAACCCATTGCAAGTCAGATTCACTCTCTCTCCTTGGAAGACAGTGGTCCATGGAGGGTGGAGGGAAATCACAGGTTTGTGTGCAGTTGCTGAGGAGGAGAGGAGAGATGGGTGTGAGGTGGAGGTGCCTGCAGTCCCAGACACAGGGGTTTGTCTGGGATAGACTGGAGCATCTGGTATTGGAGAACCCATAAGTGGCCCCCAGGGAGGGCTGCTGTTTCCCCAGGTTGCAGAGCCTCCAGGTGTACTCATTTCAACCCTGGGTACATCGGCTGCTCAGGCAGGGGTCTGCGGGAGCAGATTGGCTTTTCAGAAGACAAACCTAGCAGGATCTACTCATCCTTAATCGATGATGGGAGGCTCACAAATCCTCTTACCTTTTCTGGTAGACCTGGTCCTCAGGTAGATAATTGGTAAATGCATTTCTCCTGGACTCCCACCCAGGCTCCTCATGCTACAGATACCTCTCTAAGACGAGGATTTGTGTGTACAAGGTACCAGAATATGACACCCCCAAATTTGCTTCTTTGGCATATAGATTATTTTGAGCTAAAGGCCATTGAGAAGCACCAGAAACAGGAAAAACTCTAAAAACAGAGCACGAGTTTTTCTGTGGTAAGAAAATTTTCATTTACAAAGACAATTTCTGTTTGTAAAGGTGTTGTAATTGACCTTATAAAATGACCTCCTCCCTAAGTTATTTTTTGTTCTCTCCCCAATATCTCAGACTTTCAGATCAGTCAAGCCTAATGAATAAAACATTTTAATCTTCTTGGTTAACTAACTTTTCCACGGGACTTCCTGATGACTCACCATCCTCACCAACAGCTGACTCTCGAACCAGACCACCTGCAGACCCCATGACTTCAAACCCCACGCAACCTGATCTGCATTTCAAAAGCTACTATAAGAGCCCTTGCCCTTAGTCAGTCAGAGAGACAGATTTGAGAAATATCTCCATCTCCTGGCTGACATCAATTACAATAAAACCCTTCCTTCCTTGACAATACTCATCTCGGTAATTGGCTTTCTGAGCCACAAGCAAGGCACCTAGGCTGGACTCCTTTTGGGTTTGTGCAAGGGGCGGCCTTACAAAATTAACAGGAAAATCATCTCGCAATTTCCTAGTAACAGTTAAAGATCAATCCCGTGAGTTCTCTCACTAACAGGCACCCTGCAGGAGTTTTGTTTTGCACAACTTCTGAAAAGAGCCGAATAGATGGAAAAAACATGTAAATCTTACTCTCTCAAAATTACTTTTGAGGATCTGTTTTTACAGAGTTCCTGAGTGAACGGTAGGTTGTGAGTTTTGAAACCGCCCTTCACACAAGTCAAAACAGGTGCAGGGCAAGAACTGTGGTAAGGGCCTAGCTAAAAATAATGATAATAATTAGTCGCTGTCCCCTGTTTTGCTTCTCTATAATTGCTACCCCAAAGCCATGCAGCTGATGATCATAAAGATTCTTAACTTCTCCCCATAGCTGTGTCCATGAAGATTCTTAACTGTCTCCATAGATAATATCACATTTTTGAAATCTACATGTACTTTTTAAGATATCTTCGAGGCCCTGCATTCCAGTGGATTGATTGGCCCACCCAGACCATCGGCCCACACCAAGAAACCGACTCACCCGGAATTGTGACCCCAGGGACTGAAACAACACAAGCAGATGATTTTTACACTCCTGTAATTTTGCCCCGATTAACGAACCTAATTGCCTAATCCCTTGCCTGCCAAACTATCCTTAAAAACCCTGTCTCCCAAATTCTCGGGGAGGTAGATTTGAGAAATTTCTCCTGTCTCCCCATTTAGCCCTATGCACAATAAAGTTTCTTTCTCTGCCATAAAACCTGCTGATGCTGCGTATTGGCTGCTTCTTGGGCAGCGGGCGAATCGACCTGGTTGGGCAGCAGCAGTTTCAGGCCTCAGCCACATCTCAGTGGCTGAGTCACATCTCCTGCGAAAATCCCTTCTCCAAGGACAGACAGGAGAGCCAACTCTTGGACTTTGACATCCTGCCGCAGTTTTGGCTTCTGTTATCATCTTGCTGCCAAAAAGAAAGAAAGGAATGGATGCAGCAGTTTCTTACAATGATCACGATTTTTTTTTCCTCTCTCTTGTCCCCATAGAATCAGCGAGCCACTTGGCCTCAGGGCTGGCACCCCCCCTTCTCTTTCTTTGGGATGCCACGCTGTCTCCCTGTTCTCCATTTGTATTAACTTTCAAAAATAAAATCTCAGTTGTGGGGTGTGGTGTTTACTGTAAAATTTTAAATAGAATCACTGTAAGTGTATTTTCTTCTTGGGACCTTTTATACTCAGATAAGGACTGTCTACATTTAAGGGCTGATAGGCAATTGCCTTTTTAAAACTGCAGACTTTAGATATTCTTACCTTTTTCTGGAAGAACTTCCCCAATAGGTCTTTTAGTTATAAGCAAATATAGGGAAAATGCCTTCCCTCTGTTTGGGAGCAAAAACCATAAAGTAACCTGAATGCATGTTTTAAATGAAGACGCTAAATGTCCGTTTGGAAATATAAAACATTTATATGTCTCTGCAGATTTTTAAAAAAATTTTCTCTTTAAAGGTCTGGACAGAGACCGGGCGCGGTGGCTCATGCCTGCAATCCTAGCACTCTGGGAGGCTGAGACAGGTGGATCGCTCAAGGTCAGGAGTTTGAGACCAGCCTGAACAAGAGCGAGACCTCGTCTCTGCTAAAAAATAGAAAGAAATGATCTGGACAACTAAAAAAAATATATATATAGAAAAAATTAGCTGGGCATGGTGGTGCATGCCTGTAGTCCCAGCTACTCGGGAGGCTGAGGCAGTAGGATTGCTTGAGCCCAGGAGTTTGAGGTTGCTGTGAGCTAGGCTAACGCCATGGTACTCTAGCCCGGGCAACAGAGCCAGACTCTGTCTCAGAAAAAAAAAAAAAAAAAAAAAGGTTTGGACAGAATACTCTGTGTTCCCAATGTGAATAGAGTTGTGTTTCTCCTGAAGAGAATAGAAATCTCCACCAGCTAGGGTCCTGAGAAGCATCTGGGGCTAGGGAAGGGGGGTGTGGGCAGTAGATCTTCTACTGGAGGGAAGGAGAATCCCTTCCTTTGGTGTATGCAGCTGGATTTCTCTTGGTCTGAGAAAGCTGCCCCTTCTATGTGCAGGTGGCCAGGAGCAGACACACCTTTTCAGGGCCTTCGTGTGGTTGGGACAGAGCTGATGGGCTCTGAGATTAACCATATCTAATGGCTGACATAAGACACTTTCTGTATTTCATTTCCTTCCTAGAACCATTAGCAAAGTCTTGCCAAGTTACAGTCTTGTTGCAGTTAGGCAGTGATGTGTGGGAAACAGTCTGGGTCCATGGCACTGGAGGGGAGCCCAGCAGACTGAGAAACTGCAGAAGACGGTGTACACCAAGGGGCCGTGGTCCCTGCTGGCTCCGGCAGGATGACAGCCAGCAGCTCCCAGTAGGCTCCCCCCGGGGATGGCCAAAACACCTGTGAGGCGGCCCCCAGCAGCAGACTGGGCTTTCTGCTGAGCAGTAGGACGTATAGGGGCTCAGTGTCGTCATGATTTGAGCTAATAGCAGAAAAGAGTGTCTACACAGAATGCTGACGCTTGGGATAAATTGGTCACACATGGTTGGGGACAACGTTCTTGGAGCCCCAGCCTCCTCCTTTGAAGGAACGGCTTGCTTCTATCCTTTGCCTCCCAGGACTCCCTGCATTCCATCAGGAGTGGCTGGAATCCCACACCAGGCAGGGGGGCACCTCCTCCTCCTGTGGACTCTGCGACACATATTCCAGGCCCCCTGTGTTTATGCAGCACAGTGGTGGGTTTGGTCCAAGAGAGTGATGTCCACATCGCCTGATTCTTACGTTCAGAGTCACCGCAGTAGCTGATGTCTTCACATCTCTTGGCCCTCAGGAAAAGGGTGAGGGGATAACAAGGCCTCTTCTTACAAGTATTTGAGATAAAAGATAGTTATTAGGTTATTTAGAGACACAAAAGACAACAGAAAAGAGGGACTTACCAGATTGTCCACTGACTGGAGCTGCAAGAGAATTGAGAGCCAGGTATCAGTGTGGGCAAGGAGGCCCAGAACATTCCCCCAGAGAGGCCACACACCTGCATTCTACTTCCAACCAAGAGGAAGGGAAACACATCCAGTTGCATCCACCTCAAAGAAGCCAACTAACATTGGCTGGAAGCTGAGGTTGTGGACTCAAGCCTGGTTTGAATTTTAGCTGTGTGACCCTGGGCAAACCACACGTCTTTCCAGTCTCAGTTTCCTTATAGTATTTCTATAATGAGTTAAATTAGTAAGTTCTCGATGGTGGCTGCCATTCTTATTTTTTTAAAATATAGGGCCACTGCTGGGATCTGGCTCTACTATCTTCTTGCCTGGAAGAGTCTTCTCTTCCTTCAGTACCAAGCAAAGTCAAATTATCTGTGCTTTAAGGCCCTGACGAATCACACCTCCTTTGTGAAGCCTCCTCAGATGCCTCTGGGCTGAAGCACCCTCACTATTCTCTTGACTCAGACATTTACTACCATAGTGTATTTGGAACTCAAAATTAGACATACAGCAGGGGGTAGTAATTAAAAGCATAGTTTCCAAAGTCAGATTATGGGTTTGAATCTTAGGCACAATGCTGAAGTCTCTGTGCCTTAGTTTCCTCTTTTGTAAATGGGAGTTAGTTTGAGCTCACCGATTGTTAGAGAATTGGATAAATTAATACATGGAATACCCTTAGAAGAGTATGTGAGACATAGTCAGGTATTCAGCAAAAATTAATTGTTTTTTTCTATAACCCCAATAAATCTCTTGTAAAAATTAATTATTATCATCACATGTTATCCTATGACCCATCGGGTAATTTTTTTCTTGTACTGTCAAGTCAGATGTTCTTGCATTTGTACTTTGATGTCCCAATCTGCTCTTGAGGTCAGAGACTGTGTCCTCCAGGTCCCTGCTTCCTCCCTGGTGCCCAGCACTGTGCTACACTAGGTATAAAGTCACTATTCACTGAGCTCCCGTCATGTGTCAATCACACCAATAACTCTTCTCTTAGGTAGGGTCTGGGGATATAGGTGGGAAAAAGACAAACATGCTTAATAAATACGTAATGTACAAAAGACTGACCATTCTTTAATTCCCCAGCTTCAGCTACTAGGAAATCAGTGCTTCATTTGGACAAATATCCACAAGTTTTACAGAAGCAGGGAGAAAAAAATCAAAGAGAAACCATCTTCTTTCTTCTCTGCTCATACTCCTTGCAAACATCAGAGCAGATTTGATCTTAGGATACAGAGAAGGAAATAGCTATTCTCAACAGAAGATCATTTCTACCTCAGTTCACGATTATTAGGATATGGTCCTTCACAAGGGACTCAGTTCGTCTTTCACTCTGGGTCCTCGGGATCTGTGTTTTAGGGCGGTAACTGAATGTAGCTGCCATTTTTAAAAAAAAAACATGAATTAAGCCTGCTTTGGGGTAGGAGGAATTTTCCATAGATAATTAAAAGAAAAAATAGATGAAGAACATATCTTGGAAATCAATTGTTATTTTTTCTCTCTTTCCATTAATGAAAATCTTCCCCCTTCGTTCATTTCCTGCTATTATTCTGAAATCCGTGATTTCAGCAGCCCAGAGGAAAGGCCTTTTGCTCATGGGGAGGCTCAGGCTTCACAGGGAGCGGAGGCCTCCTCTCCACCACTTACCGAGGATCAGCAAGGACACCCACAGCAGCATGGAAGCCTGGTCCAGGGGCCAGAGGAGGAGGAGTTCTTAGGAGACAGGCCAGGTCAGCCCAGATCGCCAAAGCAGCGCCTGTCCACACCAGTGCCAGGCAGAGAGTTCAGTAAGGTGCTTCTCTGAATATCACTGGTTGCATTAATGAAGTGAAAGGGGGAAGTAGAGGAATCTTTCATAAAACACCCAATAGCATGTTGCCCAAGATGAGAAAATCCAGAAGACAAAAATCAAAATTTAATGGAATTATTTAAGTACTGCTCTGACGTACGGTGTGAATAGCTTCTCAAGGCTTTAGCTGTCATATTTTTGGAGCTCTGGAGAACTCCGAAGGAAATAACAACTTGTTCCCTCTGCTACCAGACACCAGGCAAGACTGAAGTCCTGTTGAGGTTCACATAATCCAAGGATATACTTGAATCACCCCAGAGATGGAGAACTTCTCATTCAGTGCAGAAATGCCCTCCTTTGGCCACTGATGCTGCTGCTGGACCACCTCCAGTTGGGCATCTCTATACCTTATGAAACATCTCGATCACAAGACAACTCATATCTTGTCTGACATATATTAAAATATCCTCACTCGTTTGTCTCAGGGGAAGCCTCAACTTTTGATCTGAGTAGGAGGCAAATTGGTGAGTAATGATAGTTCCATCATACTCTTCTTAACAGGTCATAGACCATACAATTTTCACTTAAGGTCCTACAATCTAAAATTTGCCATAGGATTGTCTCGGCAAATATATATTGATTATATAACTGTACTTTAGGCATGGTGCTAGGTGCTAGGAGTATAGTGGTAATCAAGACTCATTAAGCTTTCAATTTAGTGGAAAAGATAGAAAGTCAATAGTGAATTACATACAGAGTGAAAAGTGCTCTGATAGTCCAACAGGAGGGAAATCTGACTCAGTTCTGGGGAATCAGGAGAGATTTTCAAATGGCAGTAATATCCAAGCTGAGGGGATATCATTAGAGATTAGCATGGACTAAGGTAGAAGGCAGTAACTGTTGCCATCATCATCACCCTATCATGTTGGTGAATAAATGATCCCTGTCCTTCCTATGGGGGTAGGATAACAGATATAGGATGAATTATGAGCAGTTTGTATTTTTCTAATATAGCATTTTTCGATATATCCATAATAGTTTCTTTTTACAACTAGAGTTTGTATTGAACATCAACTGTATTCCAGGTAATCCCATGACATTAGAAGAATAAAAAGATGAATAAAATGCAACTCCTTTAAAGACTTAAAAATAAATCAATGTGGTAAGGTCCACAGCAGCCATAGGCTCGAGGCACCATAAGGACATAAATGTGTCAAAGTGGCACCAAGGCCCTTGGTCTCCTCACCTTGTGACCTTGCTGTCATCTTTCAGCCACCTTCATTGTCCCAGGAGGGGTGAGGGTATAAAATGTGAGCCAGAACCTGAGCTGTGGAATCCCACGAATCTGGATTCAAATTTTGGCTCCGCCCTCTTACTAGTTGTGTGACTATGATCAAACACTTAGTCTCTTTAGGCTTCAGCTTTACACTGGTAAAAAGGAGATAAAAATAATCCACACGAAGGGGATGTTGATATTAATGTATATATAAATGCAATAATGATTGTAGAACTCTTGGCCCAGCACCTAGAACAATGTAAACACTCAACCAATAATAAATATGATGAACTATTCTGTGATACGACAACTAATAACTATATAATGAACTGGAAAGCATTTTATAATTGATATCTAGTCTACCAACGTATTTGTATCTCTATGACACTGGAAAAGAGTATTTTACATAGGTTCAGAATTCCAATAAGGAATGAGGTTGAGGGGAAGTTGAAACCACATTGTCTGTTTTCTTATTTCTAGCATCAATTTTGTTGAATGAATGAATTTCAATGAGCAAAATAAAATTCCATATTCTTGACATACAAAATGTCCAAATACAAAAATTTGTTTGCAGCTACTGTGTAAAGGTTTAAATAGTTTAAGTAAATCAAGCGCCATTTTTGTTGTTGTGTTTAAGTCACTGACATAAATGCCTCAGTTATTGGTGCCGAAAGTCTGGTTGCACTTTGAAACATCAGCCATGCATGGCATGTATCACACTATGATTTATTAAGAAATTTCTTGACTAATCAGGGTCAACTTTTAGATTTTATTTCAATGAAGGAAAGAAATACTTGATTTTTAATGATAATGTAAGGAACTAAAAATTCTGAACTCTTTCTCATATATATAAAGAAGCATTTAAAACTCTACATTTTAAAAATTAAATCTTAATTTTGGAATAATTCTAGATTTATAGAAAATTGTGAAGCTAGTACAGAGAGTTCCCACAGAGCCCTTCCCCAGTTTCAGTTTCCCTTACTCTCTTCCTCTGATATCATGGTGGTGCGTTTATCAAAAAACTAAGAAACCAAGATTGCTACATTACTATTAGCTTCATTCCAGGCTTTACCCAGCTTTTGACCAGTTTTTCCATTAATAGCCTTTTTCTTTTCCAGTATCACATCCAAGATAGCATATTACATTCGGTTATTTCTTCTCAGTCTCCTCTGAGAAACTGAGTTTCTCAGTCTTTCCTTGTTTTTCATGATCTTGATGGTTTTGAGGAGTACTGGTCAGGTATTTTGTAACGTCTTCCATTCTGAGTTTGTCTGACATTTTACTCATGGGGTTATGGGTTTTCAGAAAGAATACCACAGAAGTGGAGTGTCTTTCTCATCACATCATATCAAGGGGTAAGTGATATCAGCATGACTTTATCACTGGTGATGTCAATCGAGATGACTTGGTTAAGGTAGTGTTTGCCAGGTTTCAACGTAAAGCTACTATTTGTCCCTCTCCATAGTCTTGTTTGGAAGCAGGTCCAGCCCACACCCAAGGGGATGGGGTGTTTGTGGAGATTTGTCTCTTTTTTCTTATTTATTTATCTATTTATTCATTCACTCAATCATTTATTTATATCACTATGGACTCATGTATATTTATTTTATACTTCGGGCAATAATACAATGCTAGTTTATTTATTTTGCTGCTCAAATTGTTCCAGTTTTGGTCATTGAAAGTTTTTGCAGGTTAGCTCATTTGTCCCTGTGATGTGCCCTCATTCTTTTGTTCTTTGGAGTACTTCCCCACTTTCTGGTACTACAAGGTGCTCCAGGCTCACCTTGTACTTTTTTTTCCCTCACCTCTAGAATTGGCCATTTTTCCAAGAAGCCCAAATTCCCTTCAGTGGAGAATAATATTTAGAAAACAAAATCTGGGTGCTGAGTAAATTCTTTTCTATAATTTTCTGGGGAAAATTATATCTTTTAAAATAACTGACAGAGAGTCTGTAGTTTTGACAGTGCTTTATGAGTGGAAGAATACTAGACAGATAACTTTGTCATTCTTATTATAATAGCCTCTACTCCAAAACCAGTGGCTATATATATAATAATTTCTGTAACCACGTATTAGTGATAGAGGAAAAATCTCTTGGAATAATTAACTTTGAACTTCAAAAAAAAAAAGGCAATGAGTAAGATCAATGAGACTTTTCGTGTAGGCTAGTGCTTTCTGGAAGTCTTATTTCATTTTCTGTGCCTGCAGTTAAGAATATTTCTAACCTCCAATGGTAAAGTATGATCGTTTTTGGTTTTAGAGACTTTTCTAAGATGGTTTCTTGTTCTAAGTTGAGACTCTTCCACTTTGCAAACATATAGATCTTTTTGCTCAAAAATTGAGCCAAAATGAGAGCAGAATAACAGATTGTTAGTGCCCTCTCTTCCAGACACACAGACCCACACTGATGCAGCAGGGGTGTAGAATGCAGGGAGCAAAGGCTCTTGCCATCTGTGAGGTTCGCTGAAAAATCACTGACACCAGACAGATTGATTGATAGGAGGAAGAAGATGCAGATTTATTTACTTAATGTGTATACAAGGGAATCCTCAGAATGAAGATTCGACTCCTCAATGAGGTAAAGATGTTCATAAAGAATGGGGTCTTGAAAGCAGAAAAACTGGTTTTGGGAGGGAGAAAGGAAGAGGCTTGAGTAGCTAGCCAAGGTGGTCTTCTTATATAATTGAAACCTTACTGGTAGCAGCCCTCAGAGGGAATAGATGGCAAATGTTTTTTATCAAACCTTTAAAGGTGTCAGGCTCTCAGTTAATATTTTTCTAAATCAGGAAAGGAACGACTTGGCTGTATTCTTTACAGATATAAATTTCCCCTCACAAAAGACAGCTTTGCAGTGTTACCTCTACCTGTGAGACTCATGGCAGCCATCTTAAAATATGTCAAAGAAATATACTTTGGGGTAAAATATTTCTAATTTCTTTCAGTCCTCATTTTGAAACTAAAAAGTTTCACATATTAGAAGCCAAGCTGACTGCTTTAGAGAAATTTGGGTTAGAGGTTGTTAGAGACAAAGGATTGATTAAAAAACAAAACAAAAACAAATTGGGATAAATGGAAAAAGAGCAAATTGAAACATACCATCCCATATCTTCTTTAGTCAGTCTCCTAGTCTTGTGACTAGATCAGTTCAGTTGAACAGCTGTGTCCCATTCCAGGAGCTGACATTGCAGATGAGCTTTCAAACAGAAGGAAAACAAAGATTAATATTTGGAATGGTTCATAAACCAGTTTTCTTAGAGTCTGTAGGGTACCCAGCTGAACTGTCTAGATCTTAGATTTGAAGCATCTTCAGTTAAAGTGGAAGCAGGCAGTGGCAATCTCACAGATTTTTCTTGCCTGGAGTTTGTATGTCTCAAGGTACATTTGCAGGGCCTCAGGAGAAAGTAGTGGCAATTTCATTGAGTCCAAGTTAGAAAAATGGAAGAAAAAATTGAAAACGTTATTTGGTGAGTTGTAGTCAGAAAAGAGTTTGGGATAGAGTTCAAAGCGTAGGCAAATAAAACTTAAAAACAATGGACAAGGCTAGAATCTAATAATGGGTTTAGTATTAAGTATAATTTCTTCTGAAACATTTATTTCCAGTTTCCCATTTCTA